TAGAGGAAGCAGAGCCAGGTTAAAAAGGGATCTGCTCCTGCTAGAAGTGGCAGGATGCAGGCAGGGCCTGGAACTTGACAGGCACTCTGAGTTGTTAAATTGATAAAAATTTCAGAAATAGGAAAAACAATCTAATTGTTTAATGGAGAACTAGGAGAGGATGAGAGGTTGCCTGTGCTTGGTGTTGCATGAGGCCCTATCAGACTTGGCCTGAACTATTTACAAGCCTTGACATTAGGAAATAAGAAAGGCCATATGCAACTATACCAATAATCTGAATTTTGTTCTCACTTAAGAAACAAAGAAGCAACTGGCTCCCTCATGCAATAGCCTGGCCACAGGACACTGGGGAATCCAATCAAGACTAAAGTGAGATTAATACCTGCAATGTCTACTAGAAAGGGTTGTTGTAAAGATTGAAAGAGGCCATTTATACACAGGTACTTATATTGACTGCAATTTTTCAAAGTAATTCAACATACAAGGGTGATAATTTTTTTTAACCTATACTCTGGGTAGTTAGCATTTAAATGACTAATCAAATGCTCATGTAAACAGAAAACCAAGTCAACTATGTTAATCTCTGCTGAACACCATGTTACTCAGCATAATGACCGCTACAAATGGTTTTTCATCGATGAGATGGTGCTCACAACGGTCTGTAAGTATTGCACAGACATTCCCACTCTCGCACAAATGGAAAATAAAAAGTCTATTCAGGCAGGGGGTAGTGGCTCATACCTGTAATCCTAGCACTTTGGGAGGCTGGAGTGGAAGGATCCCTTAGCGCCCCAAGTTTGAGACCAGCCTGAGTGACAAAGCAAGATACAGTCTGTACCCCACCCCCCAAATCTATGTAGCCCAGTTGTCTAAACCTTTCAAAATGGTGCCTTGGCCATTACATTCTAGAGAGTTAATGTATAGCATAGTGACTATAATTAATATTTTCTTATATACTTGAAATCTAAAAGAGTAGCTTAGATCTTGAAAAGGCAGTTTATACTCTGTAAATAATGTAACTGTAGTCCAAGAGAAGCTATACCAGCAAGTGAAATTAATGCCCAAGGAAAGAAATTAACACAAGCAGTACTGTTATTAAGGATCCCCAAATCCCTTAGTCTTCTATTACAGGCGAGAGCTAAGTTATCATTTGGAACTGACTACACTCCTCTGCATGGCATCCTAAGAATGATGTGTGTTGCTGCTTTTTCTATGATATAGTTAAATTATTATCTTGTTTTCTGGGGCAAAAGAGAAGTTTTCAGGAACTTTCACTACTTGAGTCATATGTTTGAAATGAAAATGTACATTATGTGTGTACATATCTATACATATATGGGGGAGAGGGAAAGAGAGGGAGAGAGAAAAATGGTAAAAATAAATAAAATTGCAAGTCTTCTTTGGAGCTACCACCCTTCAAAGCTCTTTTATTTTTAGGATCACTCACATAAACTGTAGTGGTTTAGGCTGGAAAATCACTTCTTCAGCTCAAAGTGCTCCATTTCCATAGGTATCAAACAGTGTTACAGCACACAGCTTCTCCCCTACCTCCACTCCAGCTGTGTGGAGAGAAAGCTACTTATGAATTCTTCTGCAGGCCCCAGTGATCTGGAAGGCAGTCGCAGAGCTTTTATGAAAAGCCAGAGCAAAAGAATCTAGATCTCATTACGCCAAAGAGGAAGTTGAGTGTTTATTTTAAATCTCATTTTAGCCTGCTCCAAATGTGGACACCATTGTCTAGGGCCAGTCCTGTGTACCACCTGTACCTCGTGCATGTCCCTGAGAACAAGCTATTTCCCTGAAAGGACTTTCTTATAAGGCATCAGAATATGGGTTTGATTTTGAATGGGGTCAACAATCCCAGGAATCTTTCAGGGAGGAGGGGGGCGGTCACCCTCTGGAGAGACAAGGGCATGTGGGGGTTAAAAAGCGGGCTCTGAAGCCAGGCTGCTATGTCTGAATCCAGGTTGTCGGGTTTATCACCTGGCCATGTGCGTGAGGCACACAACTGCTCACATGGTGGCTTCTTCCTCTTCTGTCGAAGGGGCAAATAATGATTCTTATCTGATTGGGGTGCTGTGGAGGTTAAACATATTAACACATAAAGTGCTTTACTGCAGGACCTGACATATAGTAAGTGCTCAATAAATGCTAGGGAGTATGTTGGTCCTGACTTAACACCCTCCCAACCTAGGGAATAACCAGGTCCACAATCTCTTAGAGGACTTGTGGGCAGTCTGTGGGCACCTGGCAGGTGGCATCTGTTGGGTGGTACAGGCTGTTTCTCCCAACTCCAACTCGGCCTATTTCTTACATCCAGCCATCAGAACTCCCAACACACAGTCACCTAAAACGATCTTATTTATCAGAGCCTAGAAATTTTAAGCCAATTTAATAGTGGAAAAACCCCAGAGTGAATCACGGCAAACTTTAAATGTAATCTTGTTAAATGGAAATAGAGACAGAGACAAATATTTGGAAAAGATCTTAAGGAATTGATAGACCCCAATGAGTTGAGGTTCTTTTAGGTCAGATGAGCACTTCTTGGCTTCTCTCTCTCTCTCTCTCTCTCTCTCTTTCTCTCTGGGTATGTATGTGTGTGTTTAAACCCAGGCCTCCTTTTTGATAAATACAAAAACCTATGGTTTCTGTTAGGGCTATCTGAAATTTGAAATATAAAGAAGCGACCAAAAGCAAATTTAAGCAACTGACATTCTAGAGTATGCTTTTTCAACGCACACATGTACGCTTATCCCTAGGAAACTTTGAGTTGCTGCCTCCTCCCTTCCTGAGAATCACTCAATTGGACCTGCAAACCATATCCCATAGCCCCCCAAGGTAGACCAGACAGGATATTGCTTTCACTACATCTGCCAAGAAGATTTCCCTCTTAGAGAAGCTTTTTGTTGGGTTCATCTGTGCACATAAAATTCTTCCATCCTACATGACCCACACTTGTGCTCAGGATCAGACATTTGGAAACAGATAATGAAAGACTCATTACTACTAAGGAGCCACTGGGAACACCACAGCAGTGAAGGTAAAGTGACCAGACTGGATCACTGCAGAGCTCTTTAATTGACCTCCAATAACTTCCTGATGCCACCAGGAAGGGAAGGGTTAAAGACAGTGGTCAAGGGAATAGCTGCCTGGGGTGTGGAAGGGCCCAGTGAGCAACACAGAGGATGCAAAAGACAAGGAAAAGCAGAGCTCCAGGTCTCCAGGACCAAGACACTTCAGGGACTCAAGAGGATGGCAAGATGGGGAAAATGTGGGCACAAGGAGAAATGATGAAAAGACAGACTTAATCTCAGGAGCCAGGCAGAATCCCGACAGAAAACAGAGGTCCTCAACAATGCACTCCTCCAAACGTTTTCACATCGACCTTTACTTTTTTCCTTCTAATATCCAGGGATGACATCCTTCCTTCTTTACACCCAATCCTCTACCCATGCCATGGATCCTACCCTCACCCCTCCACTAGAGGCAGCCAACCTTTCATATTTTGACCCTCTTCCCTGGATCGATTCCCTGCTTCCCTTTCCTGTGGGGGAGGGGTGTGGAAACTAACCCTTGACTCTGCTTCCTCCTTCCCACTTCCTCACACTCCCACAGTAGCATCTACATTCCCTGCTCCACATCCTCTCCTCCTAGTCACTCCAACCCAGCTCAGTCAGGCTCCTGTCTGACTGATTCAACTGTCATTAAAGCAACATCCATGCCATCAAGTCAAATAGAGTTTGTCTGTGTTTTAAATCATGTTAAGTATTTTAATATATTTTTAATTGGCTGGAAGAGTGCCTGATAAATGAATTCACCATCTAAGGACAGGGTTAGAGGATAAATCCAGCTTCCTTCTCAGGGTAGAGGCCTTCCATGATCTCACTGAGTCCCCTGTCTCCTGGCTAATTCCCACTCCTCACTTGCTACTCGTATCAGAAGGGATCTGTCCAGGGTGGCCTCTCCTGGGACCCCCACCTCCACCCCAATCCCAGCCCTGGCTACATAAGGGGTCCTCCTTTCATCCCCCTCCCCCGAATACTAGTTTTAAGTCCCCCTGTTGCATTCCCCTGTCCTATAACAGGTGGATTAAGTCCATCTCACAAAACAGGCTCTAAATTCCCTAAGGACAGGAATCTCCTCTGACACTCACACGGCAAAAGGGAAGGACCCACCATGAGTTAGTCCTTCAGCCCTCAAGAGGGACCCTTGTTAGCCCAAGATGGTGGAGGTACAAGAATATTTTGGAAGCAAGAAGATAGATCCTGTGTTTTTCTACCCCTTTGATCCCCATCTCTTTCCTCATTTCTGGCTCTGACTTATTTCCCAGTGTTTCCTAGGTAACCAACAGTCCCAGAACACAGACTTCTGACAGTTGCACCTTTAGCCACTGAGACGCGGGCTCTGAAGGATTTCTAACATACCGTTTCTGCCTCAGGAGTCGGCAGCACCTTTTACACGTGGGCAGCCTCATGGCAGGGCGTGGCGGCACCTACAGCCTGTGTGTGAGTGTGCTCTCCCACCCCCACTTACTGGCCTAAAATGTGGAAAGAACTACACTAAAAAGTGCCATCAGATGGTGGGAGGATGGGCAACTAAATAGCATAATCTTTCTGGGAAGTCATCTGGTATCAGATATCAAAGACTTTAATAGATTTGTGGTCTTCAGTCCATGAATTCTACATACAGGAAAATAAAGAGAGGTACAGTCAAAGATGTAGGCACGGGGGTTCACTGCAGACTCGTTTATTAAAACAATAAAAATCACCTAAAGGTTAGCAATAAGAAGTGGTTAAAAATTACAGAATCACTATATATATATATTTTGTTGTTGTTGTAGACTATGCCTTAAGATTTAATAATCTCAATTTCAACTGAGATGACATCTTCTATACATAAATACAGAATTATACATAAATAAAAAATAAGGAAGTCCATCAAAAGGTTTGAATGATGGTGATCACAGGTGCATTTGTTTTTATCTTCGTACTTTTCCCTGTTTTTCAAATTCCATAAAATGATAATGTTTTCCTTTATCATATAAGTTCTTTCATTGTAGTAAGACAGATGTGACAGTATCAGGTGGAGATGCTTAGCAGAGAAGACTGTAACACGGGGAAGAAGTTTTTAAAGGGAGAGGGCCACCTCTTTTGCCCTTTACTGGGAAACTACAAAAATAGGGTGAACTTCCATCTAAATGGGAGAGTTCAGAACAGAAAAAGGAACAGATGGTGTTAGTGCTTGAGTACCACCATTTGCTTTTTCTCCTCAATCCCACCTTTCTTTTCTTTTTCTTTGGAAGCTGAGTTGAGGGAGACGGGAGGATTGAGCCCTTGACCTCCATGGCAGACTCATCTTCCAGCGACACAGAGAGCTGTAGCTCTGAATGCAGATCCAACCTGAGCCTCTCAGTGGGCTATTTCCCCTGTGAGGACACCTGTGAGGACACCACTGCCTGTGAAGACACGCCTTCCAAGGGTTCTCCGATCCACTTCCTCCCTCCTATCCAAGGGACATGGAGGACTGGAAGTACAGGGAGACTCTGGAAGAGACAAGACCACACTGAGGACAACCCAGAGCAGTTCTGCAAACTAAGTATTGCCTTGGCCTGGGGTGTTGATGTGGACTCTAAAAATGCAGACTCCATAACTAACTGGGATCTCAGTGATGACAAGTGGATCGACAAGTACCCAGAGGAGAGAACGAAACTGACTCTCAGCAGACTGGATGGTCTCGTGCAAACGCTGGAGAAATTCCTAGAAAATGAGAATGAAGATGAAGGTGATGTCTCAGTGTTCGCAGGATCTACTCGGGAAGAAGATTTCCAGCTGTCCAGCAGCTTCCCTCCAGATATGGCTCAGGCTGGCCACCAAGAACATGACACTTGTCAACTCTTGCCCAAGCACAAATCACCAGAAAATGAAGAGGTCATCCAGTTCCCCCTGATGCCTCTTAGGCTGAAGGAACGTGAACTTGCCGAGGTGAGCAGAGAGACGTCTCACTAGACAGCAAGGGATAAGCCGGTGGGGGGAGCCAAGTTGGACCACACAGAGCCTTGTGACCCACCCACCGTGAAGCAGGCTGGCCCCCCTGGGTGTGGGACGTGACTAGCACCAGCACAGAGAGGGGACAGAGGGAAGCTGTAGGGAAAAGACTGGGGATCTCCGAGGGAGTAAGGGTCAGAAGCAAGGAGGGCTAATAAGTATATTTTTTAAAGAAATGTATGTGCTGGGCTATTTATGATGAAAGGACCTAAGCTCCAGAAATGAGCGAATATCGACACGGCTGCTGTGGACGTTATGCATCTCTGAGTAATCCTTCATTTTCTTTGCAGATAAGCCAGGCAACTGGCAGCCAAAAGGCAAGCACCATCGACACCTCCTCTGTCTCGTCGGGGCAGGCGGCGGAGGACGACGAGCCTTCCAACATGCAGGGCTTATCCTGCCTGAACTTCGGGTGGTCACTCTTCCGCTGGCTGAGGCAGCAGGTCGTCTCCTCTCTCCGGCGCAGAAAGCCCACTGTGAGAGCCCCCAAGAACCCCCATAAGCCAGCAGCAAAGAAAAGATTCTCTCGCAAATGCAAGAGAATCCAACCCCAAGAATCCCTTGAGTTATGACACCCTATAGTCCAGAGTTTTAAATTATTTGATAGTCCCTGTTCCACAGTCCCCATGGGTTTATGTTTTCCCAATAAATAAAACCAATATTCTTGTTATCCATGATTTCCCCTTCCAGCATACTATCTTGACTCAGTCTGAAAGAGTATTTATTTTTAGGAAATTTTAAGTAGCATTATGCATCCCAAACTAATGGCATTCTTTTTTCTCTCCTCCCCACTTCTCGCTGTATTTTACTGTATGCTGTCTGTCTTATGTACTTTAACATTTTAACCTATTGTATCATTAACCCAAATCCCCATTTTCAGCAAGCAGAAGTGCACCCCAGCAGATTCCCACTGTGACAGCATGACTTTGATTGAACAAGGCTTGAAGAAGTGCAGAGGAGACTGAGGCACAGAAGATGCTAATTTCGGTCACTCCTGTTGCCAGAGATCAGACAGCAGTTCCGATGTTTCTGGGGACCAGACTGGTTCTAGCATGTGTTGCCTTGGCTGTAACAGTGGCCGACTTAGGAAGAAGATGAAGACTGAGAATGCCACTCAACCACTTTAAGCCTAGCTTCCCTGGTTCATAAGACGGGCAAGATAACAACACATACCTCATGGAGTTGGTGTGAAAATGGGATGATGCAAGCACGTGATTAAAAAACTGTTGCTGCTATAGTCATTCTCCTGAGGAACTCCCCAGAAGACTTGATTCAAGGGCTATCCAAAAGTGAGAGTCTGAGTCAATTCCCACTGCAATTATTTCCCATGCAGAAATAGTCACCAGAAGTTAAGGGTTTTCAGCTGATCTTGGCTTGATCAGGGACTCTTCCAACCCATCCCTGTGCCCTCTGAAATTCCTTTGCAAGTGTCATTGAACTTCCCTTTAAAAGTCACCTTCTTTGAGGAAGACTGGCTATTTTTGTTATCAGGTCACTCCCCCCCAGTGTCACTATCATCATTCTCACTCACAGGTTCACTCACCATCCTCCTCTTTCAGCTTGTACTACCATCCTGTGTGACCTTCAGAGCACGATTCCTTAGTCTCAAATTCCTTCCTCTCCTCAACTTCAATTTCCTTATCCTCTTCCTTCCTTCTACAAATATTTAGCAACAGGAGGGCCAGATACTTTTCTAGATTAAAAAGAAGACTTCATCTTTGGGTTCAAGTGCCTTATTATTTAAGCGATAAAGCCATGTAAACCTGTGACTATAAAGGATTACGGCGAATAGTCTGCAGGGAGTAGACATGGTACTAAGAATATCATCATGGGGAGAGGTTGTTTTGAACAGGTTTCCTATGTGAGGCTCTTTGAGTTACAGATGAGGTTAAGGTGGAGGACTTTAAGGCGCTGGATAAACTAGTGTGGAGTGGAGGTGTGGGACCTTGGCTGGTTCACAGCATATGAGAGACAGTGGGCCACAAAGGGCCCAGGAAAGACAATACAGTGGGAGAGAAGAGGTCAAAGAACAGGGCCTTTTGCTCGATGTGTGCTCCTAGTCACATCCTGACTCTCCTCCCCACCAGATCTCTCACTCAGTCTTCATCTCTGATAACCCCCTCTCCTTCCACTAGCTCACTTGCTTGCCCACCTCCACCTCTCCTTACTCTGCCTTCCTGAGACTTTGAGTCCCATCATCACAACTGTTCCCTGACTTCCACCCTTTCCCTCCAGATCCACCCCCTACACCCCCTTCCCAAACTCAGCAAGTCCAGCACATCTAGCAACATCCACAATGCCTCGCCCTCTTTTTCTCCCAAATCTTCTTTCAATTCATACACACCAAATTCCCCAAGAGGACACTCTTACTTCTCATCAAGGCCAACACACAAAAGCACAGGGATTTCCTTCTTCATTCCCTGACTGTCTAGGGACCCATCCTTAACGAGCCTGCTGTCGGGTTATTATAGGGCAACATGGAACGGTCCTGGTAAAGGTGACTATACTCTTCCATAAGCTCTGCCCCAGCACCTGCCCTGCCATGCTCACACCACCACCTATACTTTTTAGGTCTCTTTATATCTCTATTGTACCAACAGACCGTGAGCTCTCCAGGGCAAGGACCAGGCTTTAGTTCCTCTTTCTTTGTAAAATCCTAGCACAGTGTCTAGTACAGAGTAATCTGTCTATTTGACTCTATATAATTCTTTAAATGTTTTCAACATGTCTATCATTATGTAAGTTTTTAAAAAGTGAAATACAGCAGCTTAGAGAGTGGCTATTTAAGCCAAAGGTGACTGGCCCAGCAGGGTTCAGAGTAGAAATGTGGGAGGAAGGTGACCAGAAGAGAGAAAACAGCTGTAAGTAAAAGGTCAAGAGAGGTGGCAACCTATAGACTGAGAAACCCACTGAGACTAGAAAAATTTAGAAACTCATTTGAAAATGTAATTCAACTAATTTGCATGGACACTTAATGGTTTGTCAAACTACACAGACAAACTATGATAGGCTAAAAGAAAGATGACATCTCCGGCCATCAGGGAACTTGCAACCAGAGTTTTCTTGTTATTTTAATTCTTCTCTCTAGTAATTCAGCTCTAAGAAAAACTCAACCAAAATAAACACCTTTAAAAGCCTCTTCATACTGAAGAAGACACCCTGTTCTTTAGTTAGATTTCTGACATACAGTATTTGTATTTTTCCGTATTGTATAAACCTTCTTGACAGGTATGAACCTATCCCTAAGATTTAAGCAATGTACTTTGCAAGTCTTTTCAATAGAGTAAGCTTTATGCACCCTTTGGGGTTAAGTGTCATGCTACACATCAGAAAGCAAGACAAAGTATTTAAAAATAGGAACTATTTCAGTATCTCCTCATTCATTATAGGCCAATATGTTACGAAGCTAGGAGCTTGGTAATGGAGAAGGAAATCCCTAAGGTTTTGTGTATAAGTCGACCTGTGACCAGGTCCTCTGCTTTGTACCACATACAAAGGACTGGGGTGGGGGCTGGAGGAGGCCCACTGCATGTGTCCAAAGGACTGAAAGTGAACTGGAAATGATCACTGAAATATACTAGCTTTGCTCAAACCTCAAGCCTCTCATAGAATTATTGTAATTGCCAGTGACATGCTAATACAATTAACCTGTAATTTTGGGGATCCATTATAACTGAAAACTAAAAATCATTCCTTCAAGAGAGGTACTCACTTTGAACCCTCCTCAAGCTCAGCTTCTTCAATTAGCCAGGTAATAACTTAAAAACGTTTGTATTCTAGAATCCATAACACCACCATAATATAAGCCAGAATATGGTATGAGAATTTATCAAGCAAAGTAGGGGGTATTCCACTACCTCCAAGGCACAGAATTGGGATAGGCTAACCTACAGACTGAGAAACCAACCACGTTACACCAATTTCTTGCTCGAATCCCAGTAAGGGAAAAAAGTGTGTGATCCAACCATTACAGGAGCAAAATCTTTTTTCCAGATTTCAAGAATAGAATGTTAAAATTGATGCCTCACAAGAATACACAGGTACAAGTACAGCTGGCCACAAGAACAGTGTCTAAAATCCTCTTACAAAACAATGAAAAAAAATTATTTTAAATGTATTCCTAGAGAGAATTAAGGTCTTGACCTCAATAGTAAAGAACAGTTTTGTTTACATAGGAGGAATAGTTGTTTAAAAATAAGTCTTCTCATTGTGAACTCCAAGTGGGAGAAGGTGGACAGCACAGGTCAATCTCCAATTTCAAGATGGAAGGGTAGGTTTTATATTGCATTGCCTGGAGACAATCTTCTCCTGCTACCCCCTATCCCCCAAAACAAACAGAACAAGGCTCTGCTTTCAGAAATGAAATAAGATCCTCATCAGATAACACTCACTGAGTGAGCCAGTCACGAGCAGAGTGGGAACAAAGGCCTGAGGATAAATTCCCCAAAGGATTATCAGCCTAGATCAAGAAGTTCCACAACAAAATAATTTCCATCTTCTCCCACATTTCAAAGAAATTCCACGGTTTTAATGCCCACTTGAGTTTAACAAAATATACTTTATGGAGAACTACTTCTAAAGCATTTTCAAATGGCAGGGAGCAAAAATCTTATCTTTTTAGATTGCGGCTGTTGAAAGAAAATTCATCTAATTACTACTGAATTTTCTCTATCCATAAGAAGATCAGAATGGCAATACTTAATTTTTCCTCATCTGGATAATAAAAGAGTTATGAAGTACAAGTCTCTAAAATAAAGAGCGCTCTCTCCCCTAGGGTAGAGCTTTTCTGTATCCCCACTCACAAAGGAGGAAAAATCACTTCTAAAATACACTTGGATAGCTGTTTTCAAGTTTCACTTTCATCGACCTTTCTGCCATATGTCTTGGGGTGCAGATTTTCCCCAAGCAGGACATAGAGATGGAAAGGAGAATTTTTCTTCAGTAAAGTGACTTTGGAAATCCACTCAGTACCATGTTGCAACCACCAACGTAATAACTGATTTATATATGAATCAAAAATGGATGCTGAAACCACTGGGTGAATGTCAGGGAACAAGATGTGCTCATGATCTGTTAAGAATTACCCTACTGATGACTTACTAGTTATCAAGGGGATTGGGCACCTCTACAATGGAGAGGTCTGGGGACACCAACTTAGGTAGGTGATTAAACTTAGCCTAGCCAACATCAGACACCTTCTGAGAGCAGCACTGAACTTGTTAGCAATGTTTAATCTGAATCTACTCATGAGGACACCCACAGTCAGATGAATCTAGCTTGTACGACATTCTACCAGACAGCTGTCTTGGACTTTACAGATATGTTAATATCATGAAATATGACATAAGAAAAAAAACAACAAAGGCAACAAAGCAAGACAGTTCATAACAGAGAGCAAAGAAACAAGACAACCAATTGCTAGTCATGACTTCGGATCGAATCTTTGATCAAAGCCACCAAGCAAAATAAAACCATGGCAAAGGACATTTTTGTGACAGTTGGAAAAATCTGAATATGGACTGTATGTCAGATGACATGACTGAATATTTCTTGGGTATATTAAGAATATTAAGGCTATGTAAGAGAATGTCTTTGGTTCTTAGGACATTCGAAAGGCTGGAGTATTTAAGGGTAAAATGTCATGATTTCAACCTGCTTTCATATGATCCAGAAAAAAAATAGAGAAGATGAGAAAGCAAAGATGGGGAAAATATAAAGAAAAACTCCAATAATTCGAGGATCCAGATCTCTGCCATTAATGTACTACATTTCCTATACTTGTGATAGTATATCTTTAGAGATATACATATTTAAAACATTAAAATATTTACTCCAATAATTTGATTTCTCAAGTGATATAAACTGGGCAATTCTTTAGTCTGGATTTATTCTTTCATCCCAGCACCTGCCTTCAAATTCACAACTAGTCACAAGGAATTTTTAGTCTCACAGATTAGTAAATAGTCGTCCTTCATGTCCCAACAGCAACAGAAGCAAATTGGTCCAGCTGAAAGCAGACTAGCATCTAGGCAATTTTCTAAAACATGTTGAGATTTCAAGAGCTTATTCAGCTTTTGCTAGGATTGAAAAGAACAGTTTTTGTCAAGTGGGGAGGTAGGTCCTCTCCCCTTTCAAATTATCACAAGTTTTAAGGTCTAGATACCGCATATCTACATTGGAAAGAAATTCTTGTACATTGTCTGTTTCTTACAAATCAGGGGCAACCTGACACTTATAGTACTAATAGTTCCTGCAAATTCTTTTGACATTTCCTTTTATTTTTAGCAACGCTAGATTGTTCTGCTTCTTCCAAAACTCATAAGAAGAGTAGGCAGGCATAAGGACATCATATAATCAGAGTGAAAAAGGGTACTCTACTATCGCTTTTACAACATTTCTTAGCATGTACTTAGTTCTTATGTAACTAAAGCTACAGATCCTCTCTTAACCTAATGCCCACACTCCCCTATACTGAACACTCTGCAAATAATTCAGTCAATTCAAGGACTCTGAACCCTACTTTTCACTCCTCACTTAAAAAAAATCTCAATTCTTATATAAGATTTCCTAGCTTCAAATTCCAGTTTACCACCTATTGTAGTGGATCCAGGGGAAGTCACTTAACCTCTCTTGGCTATCTCCTCATCTACAAACTGTAACACTAATAGCACTAACCTCCAACAGTTGCGGTGAGGACTTACTCAGTAAAAGTACTCGGCACATACTAAGTGCTTACAAATTTTAGTT